ATGCTGCTGACTGGACAAAGCCACGTCACCATCAGCAACACTCTAGAAGCGAAGGGGGTGTTGGGAACAAATAATCCTAAGCGCCTCTGTCGTGTCGAAACACCAAGACACAAGCGAAGCAGCGCATATCGAGGCACCAGCGAGTCAACCCTCGGAGGTTGATGTAACCGCTGGCAGGGCTGACGATATCAGGGTAATTACCCTGATTTCAGGGTGATTACAGGCTTCTGACTTGGTGGTCCCTACAAACACAAGTTTTGTATTTTGTGAACTCTGATCCAATCAGAGAAGCTACTTAACGGACTCTGAATTCTTGTAACTAGGCTCAGAGTAGTGTACTTGCGGAGTCTGTCTATGCAGGGTATGCGTTCCGTGGACCCTGAATGCAAGGGTATTGGGACGAAGTTTCCTAGAAGCTTCGTTTCGATAACCCCCTTGTGCGTACTCATTTCTTCGAGTGGCCCCATGTGAGGTACCCCCTTCACGCGCCCGTGAGTGACCTAATACCGACAAAGGAAAACACTGACGTGCTGTACATCACAGCTGGCAACAGCGCCAACGCAGCCAAATCAATGAGACGGTGCTGCCACGCGCACCGCACAGTGCACAGCATGTGTCTGCCATTGGCCAGAATGGCCTGTTGACAGCTGCGGTGGCAGTTAAGGAGTCCGTGAATGAATTCGGCCTTGAATGCAACGACGAATTCATCGTGGAATGTTGCCATCAAGTCCGTGGAATCGCGGCGCGGTGGTTTCGTGCTCCCGCCATCTCCAACCTCCCCTTCCCTCCCCGTACCACCAGCCAACGTTCCTTTGTTCACTAGTGTGTTCTTTCCATTGCGTGCATTCATTGTCTCATTTTCCTCTCGTTCAGTTTAGCCACCAATGGAGGCCATGCCGGCCGACGAAGCTGCTCCGGACACTGGCCCCGACGAGCCGCCTGTAAGAGCGAAACCAACAGCGCCGTCCCAGCCGGAGAAAGCTTCGGATGCTCCCCGCTCTGGGCTAGATTTTCTTAGATCTACGTCACACCTGAACCGCCTAGGTCTACCGTTCACGACTCTGCCCTTGTAGTAACCCCTACTCCTACTGCTTCTCCTATTCCCGTCCCGTTCACTCTCCCCCCGGCTGTTGCTGGCTGCAGCAAAGATCCTCCACCGCCCTCGCCCAGTCTTACTCCAAGCACGGTGCGGGTGTCCGTTGGCCCGCCGTCGGCTACTTCCGCTCCCAAGCGTGCGCGATCTGGTAAGTGGACGCAGAGTACTCTGCTGGTGGGAGGCCACCGTATTCCACCGCCGGAAAAGCCCGATGAGCCTGCACAGAAAGAAGCTGAGCTGCCGGAAGAAGGTAACATCCCGGTGCGCGCGGATACCGGCTCGCCGGCACTCACCAAGACGCAGCTGCGAGAGCAGATGTACCTGGAGGCGAGTATTAATTACGAGACGAAGTGGGCTGGATACTTTTCTTGGCTTGTGTTTGGGAAATCCAAGGACGGTTTCCCGTACGTGAAGTGCAGCATCTGCATGTCGTACGGTAAGGGGAACACGAGGTACGCCATGCAGGGAGACGACGGAGGCCGTGACTTGCAGACGCAATCGTTCCGGGCGCACGAGCATACGGACGCACACATGGCGGCGGTGGACCACCAGATGAAGATTGCGGCGGGAATCTGGGAGGGGCAGCAGGTGATTTTGGACTTCATCAACTCCGACGTCGAGGGCCGCCGCGCGATACGGCTGATGCGGTCGACTCAGTTCCTGTGCCAGTGCGACGCGCCGATTAGCATGTTTCCTAAGCTGATGCGGAGCAGGACACGCCAGACATTCCCCGGCAGTCGTACGGCGTTTATCTCACGCGGTTAGTGACGGTTCAAATTGATTGCAAATTTAAACTTGCACGTCAAACAACTAGCTTGACTATCGTGTACTCATAATTTCTCTGTCCTTTGTTGCAGCTACGGCTTCCAGCAGATGGTCCACAGCATGAGCACTTACCTCACCCGGGTGCAGATGGACCACGTCCTGGCATCACCGTTCCTGGACATCCAGTGCGACGAGAGCACTGACCGCACGCGAGGGAAACACATGATTGTGTACCTTACATATCTGAAGAACCGCCAAGTTGCATGCGAGTTTTTCACTTTGCTGACGGTCGAGCGGTGTGATGCAGGGTCCTTGTTTGAGGTGCTGCTGAACCATCTTCGCTCCGCTGCCGTCGATGTGTCCAAGATCGTCGGCATTAGCACGGACGGGGCGTCGGTCATGACCGGGAGAGAGAACGGATTGGTGGCGCGTCTTCGTGAACACGTCCCTCATCTGTTCTCATGCCACTGCATCGCCCATCGGTATGTGAGTTGGTCTGTATTGTAGCATGTTATCTACGCTGATTGGTTTACTAACAAACCATAATACTTGTTCCCTGCTTTACACAGTGAGGCGTTGGCTGTGAAGGACGCCGCTGACTCAAACCCGGATCTCGACATGGTCGACAAGGTGGTGCGCACTGTGGCGACTCTGCTCGGAAACTCCAGCGTGTGGAGTCAGCGGTTCAAGTACCTGCAGCGTGTGATTTACAAGACCAACCTAGAAGTCCAAGGCATCCACACGGTGCGGTGGCTGTCTCGAGGAGATGCGGTGGCCAGGCTGTGCAAGGTCCTCGGCGCTTGCATCGTGCTGCTCTGGGAGCACAATCACAAGGCGTACGAGATTGTCACCTGCTACAAGTTTCAGTTCTGCTTGTTTTTCTTGGCCGACATCTTGGCGGACATGAACGACCTCAACCGCTGCTTCCAGAGACGAGAGGTGAGGTCGCATGCTTGTATGATGTTGCTACGTGAGGTTCGTAACTGCACTGTTGCTCATCCTTCTCCCTCTTGTCTACCCCTACTCTGACACAGCTGGACGTGACTGAGATTGCGAAGACGATCGAGTCCACAACGAGTGACCTGGTGGAGCGCTACTTGACGCCAGAGAAAGCTTTCGGGGGCGAAGGGAAGAGCTGGCTGGTGACCTTCCTCAAAGTCCACAAGGAGGGTGGAGGCAAGCAGGTCCGGGTGCGCGGCGTGGACGGTGCTGGACGCCCGATCAACCACCTGTACACCATGCATGAGCGGAAGCTGAAGGGGCACAAACACGGAAGCACCTACGCAGACTGCGTGAAGTTGTGCCGCAAATTCGCCCGTGACTTCGTGGACAACCTCACCAACCGACTGGATGACCTTGGGAAGCTGGGGCCGACGAAGCTGTTCCGGACGGGCAAGTGGCCGAAGATCAAGGCCCAGCGAGAGAAGAAGTGTAAGGAGTGGCTGAACGGATGCAGCAGGCTGTTCCGCAACAAGCTGCCGGGATTCGACCTCAAAGCAGCAGAGAGGGAGCTTCCAACCTTCTACGCGATCATGGAGGCACACCATGAGATGGAGAGCTTCACCCAGGGCCTGTCCAACTTCCTTGGGAGCGCAGACTCTAAGAGGTAGCCTATACTTTGCTAACATGGGTTTTACAATCTTGTTGCGCATCGCTAACTGTTTCCGTTGTGTTGTGTGTACGAATGTGCCTGGCAGGAGATGGCCCAACCTCATCCTGCTGTGGCAGGCGCTGGCTGTGCTCCCCCTCTCCACCGTGGAGTGCGAGAGGGGGTTTGCCAGGCAGAACGTCATCAAGTCCTGGGTGCGAGGAGCGCTGTGCAACGCGCGTCTGGGGGAGCTGATGCAGATATCGCTCCTCAAGTATGAGATCGACTGGCCGGAGGCACTGGAGGTGTGGAGGTCCCTGCGGAGGAGGCGCCCTGCGAAGAGCTTGAAGCTGGCTGTGGCAGAGAGGGAGAGGAGGGGGAAGCAGAAGGAGGGTGAAGATGTGGCTGCTAGAAATGCCGGGGAGAATGAGGATGAGGAGGAGGAGGAGGAGGAGGAGGAGGAGGAGGAGGAGGAGGAGGAGGAGGAGGAGGAGGAGGAGGAGGAGGAGGAGGAGGAGGAGGAGGAGGAGGAGGAGGAGGAGGACGATGAAGTGGAACAGTCCTTCGGCGACGATCAGGAGATCGTGGGGGAGGAGGAAGCGGAGGACAATCCATTCCTGTCGGACGATGAGGATGTGGAGGAGGTGTACTTCATAGACAAGCCCGTTCACCAGACTAGATAGAGTAGGAAAGTGCATGCAGTTGTATCATTTTGGGAAATAGTGCACTGTTAATAGCAACCCTGTTTTTGAGCTGTGAACCCTGTCCGGTCAGAGTTGGACTTCGTGTGACACTGAGCTATCAGGGTAGCTACCTTGCGAAAAATGTGCCCTCATAATAGAGGGTCAAAAAAATTATTGGAATCAGGGAGTCCTAAAACGAAACGTCAGCCCTGACCGCTGGAGGTTACGCGAAAGTCAAAGGTTAGCGACCTTTGACCTGACAAAAACAGCGCGACAGCAAGGACACACAACTGACTCGACACTGAGCAGTTGCCCTAGTCGCACTGTATCAAACCGCAACAGTAAAGTAGTTATAATTATATCTCTTCATATTCTCTGTACTCATATATATATATATATATATATATATATATATTCTTGTATCTCTTTGTTTTAATTAACTTACTTTGCCCTCACATACCAACGCAAGGTGGTTCAAGTACCTTACTTAAAAACGCTTCCGCTACTACATCACTTTACTCATACTTTAACTCTACCAAAGATCCTAAAGGGCACTCAGCCCAACACCGTATACTGATTTCAGCAAAGTTACACGGGGCCCATGAGAAGCATCAACACTAGCTATTGTGTAGCATTCTAAAATGTATGAAGCTACAGTTCTTGGTTACTGGAACTCCATTCATGGGCTTTAGCAGCAAGCACCCAACACAGCTACACGAGTTTCTGAGTCCACTAAACAAGGCAGCTGGGCGTGGATCACAGGGAACAGGAGCAGCAGCAGCAGCAATGCTCTGTCTGTACGGTATATGGAGTTACACTTAGAACAGTGTAGGAGGCAGGCACTTGGCGGTGATTGCGCTGACTGACACTAGCAGCAGAAGAATTTGGCCTGTTGCTTTGGCTGTTCATTTGGTGCCGGCCGTTGGATCAACTTATTATTGGCCTGAACATGCAACGAGGCAGACCGGGATGCGAGAGGAAGGGAATACGGAACGAGGGGGAAGACAAAAACGGGTGGCGTGAGACAACGGAGGTTGAAGGGGAAGCGGGGGAGAGGAAGAGGGAAAACGGGAGAGCGAAAGGAGAAAGGCTTGTACATATGAATGAATGGCATAAAGGATTACCCTGATACAACCAGTCTGCAAACAAACTCTGCTCTTAGCTATTCCTGATTCCCTCCTTGTCTCCTGCCTACACCCCCTCCCCACTAGCAGCATATCTCACCTGTTTAATTATTTCATCCACATCAAGTGTACCAGCGCCGCCCG